GTTTTGCCGATATTATCGGCCGATATGAGCCTGTCGCCGATATATCGGTATCGGCAAATATGCCGCCGCTACGCCGCCGATATGACATTTTTTTTACAGAGCATATAACGCAGATAAAATGCTTGAAATGGTGTAATTACTTAGTTTGTCCAGCAGAGCACGCTCCATTGTTTGCTACTGGCGACCTGGATGAAACGCTTTAAAGCTTAAGTCTATGGAAAACCATTGAAACTTTGAACGGCCATATCTCCGTAATGGCGCGGCGGATCCGCACCAAATTCAGGGTTCCCTTCAGCTCGAGGAACCCTCTCGAAGGCGAATCGAGTGTACGTCTCGAGGCCCGCTTTCGAATGAGACCACCCCCGCGTCGATAGCCCCCGGGGTTCGGGAGTTACGGGTGGTTAAATTCGCGTTACGGCGCCGACCGATCAAGCGATCCCGGGGGGCTACCGACGCGCGGAGGGTGGCGTTCAAGAGGGCTCCTTGAGCTGAAGGGATCCCCGAATTTGGTGGAGATCTGCCGGCGCATTCGCGAGATAGTGACACCAGCCAACACTTTCACTTTTACTGGTACTGTACTGTAATATACACAAAGAATATCGGCCGATATATCGTTTTTTTTTTTACTCCCAAATATCGGTATCGGCCCCAAAAAACCCATATCGGTCAGGCTCTAGAAAGTAAAGTAGGCCTAAATGACAAAAAAGGTCCAGAAAGTAATGTAAATAAAAATGCAGGTAAAGGAAGTACAGAATGTAAAAAATGTTAAGAGTAAAGCAAGTAAGGAAGGCAACAAAAAGTACAAAAACTACTTTAATTTTACTTGATAAGCAGTGGTCATATTAGCAGAGTTATCTCTCAATGGTTATTGTGCAGATTACTGTGTGGATATGTCTGCATAGTAAAGATAGTGTGAAAGTGCATAAACAAATGAATTTATGACCTGCACAGCCACAGTGTATGTGAATAAACAACTATGACTCGAAGGTTTTATGTAGAAAACTGGTGTCCGGGCCACCTTTGTGTCCCGTCTGTGACGGTGAGACAGGATGCCCTCGGGGTGTCTTCCTGTCCACACCCTCAGGGGAAATCTCCTCTCGATTGTGACCATGACAACAGTTACGAGAGGTCAGAAGCTCAAAAACACTTTTTAAAAGTTTTATGAGGCCCACCATCATTGTTTACTCATGCTGAGTTACAGTAGCACAGTAGGACTTTCTGGATAATAGTTAGTATGGCACATACAACATCTGACTGTCAAGAGGTCACCTGTCTGTTCTCATATGTCAAGACACTTGCCTGTGACTCCTGGTCAAAATTAAAAGGACAATATCAAATATCCATTCATTTCATTTTAAGACCATCTGGTAAACATCTGAATCAACACATTACATAGAGTCGCTTCAGGAAACAAAGAGTTTCTAATCCATTCAAAATAATCTAATCCAATTCACATCTTTAGTGAATATAACCATGTCCTGATGTTTAAATTGTGTTTACTTTTTGTCCACTTGCATCCCTGGCTTCCCTTTCCAGATATTTGAGGAACATTTCCTCAATAGAAAGCACTTCCTTCAGGAAGGAAAATACATACAAGGCGAAACATAATATGAAGCATGCAGATGTACTGTGCATTTCAGGACTAAAAGTATAAATGAAAACTTTTTGAATGAAAAAAAGCTATTTATGTTGATTTTTTTTTTTAATGGTCATATTCCTTTTGGTTTGTACTTTAACCAAAAGTAATTATTTTGCATTAAACCTTTTTTTTTTATTTTAGATATAAACTATGCATATAATTTATTTTTTTTCTTTTGTTTTGTAAAATGAATTCAGTGTAACAAATCGACATTATAATAATCTTTAATACTCATTTATATATTTAATATGAAATGCTATCAATAAACGATGGCGTCATCTGTACAGGTAAGGGTGACGTAGGCACACATAAGCCACGCCTCCTCAATACAATAGTTATGAAGACCACGAAAAATGCCCCATTAATGGTTAGGAGTAAATAATGATTGCCAAGTATACGTGTTGCACCCAAAACGCACTACTGATACGAGTAAAACTAAATATAGGAGTGCAAGCTTTAATATGTCTATTCCGTGCCTTTAACTTGAGATGAAAACAGTCTCCTCAGGTAAAAGAAGTGCGAGACACAAAAGTAACTTTCGATCATTACCACAACATGATAGGTTTAAAATGACTATTAAAACTTCAAACCACGCTGTGTTCGTTCAAAGAACCGAGGACAGACTTTAGTAAAGGATCAAATGCCTTCAGATTGGGATAAAAGCGGGATGCCACGACATGAGAGCAACTTACCGAGCGACTGGAGCGTCGCTTCCTCGCCCCGCGCGTGAACATGTCTGCGGCGCTGGAGTGTCGGGACTCACGCGAATACTCTCATGTGTCCGCTGAAGTTCACTTCAGTCCAATCTAACCTCTTCTCGCTCGGCTCCGCGGTCTGGTTTCTGGCCTGTAGACCTCCGTGCTGGAAACAGCTCCGCGAGAAGTTGCCCGTAAGAGCGCCTAACCAGACGGGCTACACCTACAGGACAAGTGTTTAACTGTAGAGGAGCAGGACCACCCCCTGTTCACCACTACTGCACCTTATGCTCTCATCACAAATAAATAAATACATACATAAATAAACCGATACAATCTGTTTGTGAACAAAATCACCCTTAAAAATATTTATGTGTACCATTTCAATTGTGTATTGTGTAGGCCTATGTAGCAATTACTTTTTGTTCTTCAGTTGTATTCATCTATCTATCTATCTATCTATCTATCTATCTATCTATCTATCTATCTAAAAAATATTTATGTGTACCATTTCAATTGTGTATTGTGTAGGCCTATGTAGCAATTACTTTTTGTTATTCAGTTGTATTCATCTATCTATCTATCTATCTATCTATCTATCT